CAATTTTTCTTCTTCCATAAGATATGCATACTTAAGATGTGAAGGCAGTGGTTTTAACTCCAAATCGGGTGCTTCTACAATGGACGGGGTTTGGGTTGGTATATCTTTAAAATCTAATTGTTCAAAGGCAGTTATGTCCTCAAGTAAGTCTTCTTCACAAATGTCTTCTGCCGTACCCACAGTGTCTCCACTGTGGACACAGTCGATCAAACTTAGATCTAAATCTTCACCTACTGAGTAAATAGACGAACAATCCTCAATCTCCCCATTGAACTTAAGAGTCTTAAACACATTGAAAGTCATCTGTTGGTCGTTTACACTCATGGTCAACTCACCCTTTTGTAGGTCAATTAATGTCCTACCCGTAGCAAGAAAGGGTCTTCCTAAGATGATCGGAACATTTCTATCGGCTTTATAATCTAACACTAGAAAGTCGGCTGGAAAGATGAATTTGTCCACTTTTACCAAGATGTCTTCAATTTTACCTTTCGGATATGCCAAGGACCTATCCGCTAATTGCAAAGTCACGATAGTAGGTTGAACTTCCCTAATTCCCAACTGATTAAAAATGGACAAATGCATGAGATTTATACTTGCCCCAAGGTCACACAAGGCATGACCTACTTCTTTCCCTCCAATAGAGCACGAGATGGTGAAACTTCCCGGGTCTTTTAATTTTGGGGGAATTTTGCAAGTAAGAAGGGCACTACATTCCTTTGTCAAAGACATGGTCTCAAAATCACTCACTCAGTCTTCTTTTTTTATTGAGGATGTCTTTCAAAAATTTAACATAGCTAGGCATTTGCTCGAGAGCTTCTACCAAAGGTATGTTTGTGGAGTTGCTTAAAGATGTCCAAGAACTTCTTAAACTGTACATCCACATTTTTGGCTTTCATCCTGCCTGGAAAATGTAAATCTCTCAGATCTAAATCTGTTGGACCGGTCTTTTTCTGTTGGGGTGTGGGCAGTTTATGCCCACTGTGAGCAGTGTCAGGTGGAGACTGGGTGGTGCTGGAACTGGGCAAATCTGCTGTTTCTGGAACAGAAACAGGATTCTATGTTACTTCAACTGTAGGAAACAGAACTGGAAATTTCGATGTGTCAGAAGAATGTGAAATATTTTCTTGACAAATTGGCTCACTAGGTGTTTCTTTTGTGACATTAGAGTCTCCCAGGTTCCTATCACTTCTTAAAGTCACGGCCTTAACATGTTCTTTTGGTATTTTCGTGTCACTAGGCAAAGTTCCTTGAGGTCTATTCTTGAGATACGCGGCAAATTGGCCAAGTTGGGTCTCAAAATTCCTCAAGGTGGCATTGGTTTGGTTTATAAAACCTTTAAGTAAAGATTCGAGTGAACCATTACCCTCCGATGCATTTTGTTGCCTAGGTGCATGTGATTGTGAAGATTGCCCATTTCGATACATGTGATGATTACTTTGCATGTGATGACCACCTTGATGAAATCCCGGGGGATTTGAAGGTCGGTTTTGGACTTGAGTTGCCCCAGGGGTTTGAAGTCCCAAATTTCCGGCCCATGAAAAATTCGGATGATTTCTCCAATTTGGATTGTACGTTGGAGAAAATGGGCTATTTCTTGTATGGTTCCCAACATAATTTACCGAAACGGGGTTTCTGGGGTAAAACTCATAAGAATGACTTTCACCACAGAAAACACAAGATTCGGTCATGGAAGAATTGGACATTACGGATTGGACTTGATTCTTTTCCCCATTCAAATTTAAATTGTTTTTAACCAAATTAGTTAAAGCAACAATTTGAGCGTTTAAAGAAGAATGGCATCAAGCTCATGGATTCCCGATGCAGATTTAGAAATAACAGCACGAGGGTTAGACCATTCAGTATTATTATTAGAAATTTGTTCCAAAATGTCATACGCCTCGTTGTAGGTTTTAGCTGTAAAAGCTCCACCGGCTGTTGCGTTAAGAATAATCTTAGCGGCACTGGAAAGTCCATTATAAAAGGTTTCCAATTGAATACAATGAGGGATTCCGTGGTGAGGACACTTCCGTAAAAGGTCCTTGAAACTCTCCCATGCATTCGATACCGCTTCATCTTCTTCTTGGCGAAACGTCATAATCTCATTTCTAATTTTTACATTCCTCGTCGGAGGAAAGTATTTTTTAGAAATTTTTCTGCCAAATCATTCCAAGGATCGAGTTTGGTGGTTGAGAATTTAGTCATGCTCTAGCTCTATCCTTCAATGTATAAAGGAAAAGCGTCAAGCGTAAGGCCTCTTGAGTAACTCCGGGAATTTTAAAATGATCCGTCATTTCTATAAAAGATTTCAAATGAGAGTGCGGATCTTCCGAAGATAATCCCCCAAACTAACCTATAGCATAAATCATTTGAAACATAACCGGCTTGGGTTCAAAAGATGTTGCTGTCATTTCGGGCCTACCAATTCCCAAGGCCAGTTGACCAAATTCGGGAGTTGCGTAGTCCCGTATGCCTCTATTTTTGTCATCGGCAATATTAAACGTGGCTTCCTGAGGAGGTGGATTATCCCCCATGGTACGGTTTAGAGTGGGATTTCGCCGATTGTTTCTACCACTTCTTCGTCTCCTAATGGTTCTTTCTAACTCAAGATCAAGAGGTAAAAGATCACCGTGTTGTAGCCGTGGCATACAACACAGGAACAACGAATGAAACAAATGACCAAGGCTCTAATGAAAATCAATATCTCAGGATAAAAATCGCGCCAGTCCCCGGCAGCGGCGCCAAAAACTTGGTGCGCTCAGATCGTAAGTGTGCACACAGTGAGCACAAAAACCCCAAAGTGGCGGTGCAAGTACACGTCGACGCTCTGATCGCTTCAAGTAATAAAGTGGTATAGTACCAAGATCGTTTCCACAGGGACTGGACTTACTGAGAATATGAGATTTTCATGAACTTCTTGAACATGTTTCGGGTTGAGAAAATATTTGAGTTTTGATTGGTGCAAATCATTAAAATATGAAATAAACTTTTAATATTAAAAGATGGGTATGGATGTAAGCTTCCCTTAAGAACATTGTTGGAACAGTTTGGTCAGGAACTCGTGGGACTTCTATAAGAAATTCGATCTCTCGAAAGTGAATTCTTATATACAGTGCCCACAGAGTGCCCACAAAGCGTCCAGTTTTATCAACCTTAAGATTGCCGAATCAGCTAATAGATAAAAAGATATCTGGTTCCACTAGCCTGAAGATTTATTCTCACAACTCATTGTCGTATAAACTCGACTAATATCTGAACATTAGCTAAAAACAAGCAAAACCCGCATCTCTGCGTGATTATCAAAGACTCTCTCAAATCTTTGTGCATCATCTAAGCAGTATTTCAGATYCGCCCATCTCTGGATCAAGGATCTAATATTAACACTTCAAAGTGATCAGCTTATCTGCATTGAGCTTAACTCCCGACTTAAATGACCAAGCTTAAGAATCAATAAAATTGGCAACACCCAAGTGCGCCTTCAAATTCTTAAGTTTGACTCACACCCACACCCAAATGGGTGCTTAGCTCATTATAAAATTAGAACACATAGATGAAACAGAAGAAGAAAAATGCATAAGAAATACTTGAACTGAAAATAATACTTAAACTGTTGCCCACAGAGGGCATACAATACACAGTGGCGAGAATTAAAGACTAAGTATAAAAATAAAATTACAAGCAGAAATTAAACTTGCTCTACTATTGTAGAGCTTGAGAGAATGCTCCAAGGTTGCTTAGCTAAATTGTTGATGGAATGGATGTCTTCCAAATGAGAGAAAAGCTTCAATATATAGGAAAAAGTGAGGATCGGACAAACTCTTCGTCCAAAGGAAGAAAGTCTTCATCGACTAGAATGTAAGGACCTCCCATCACCACATGTCTACTTTTTCTGGCCTAGTCACTTTTTCTTGAAAGGTTGCAAAAGGTAAAGCTACCTAACCATTAAAATAATGAAAAAGTAAGGAAGGCTTTTTCATTAAAATAATGGTAGGAGTACTTTATTGGCATCTTATAACTCAACCAGGCCCATTCTTCCAAGTAACTCAAGATTTTCGGATCTGAATTCAGAATTAAATCTCATTAATACCCAAGAGAGCCAGTATTTGAATTTTGTTCAAATCCGTCATGAGAAAAATACACCATAGGAAGAATGTGAGCAGAATGTGGGCAGTATACCAACAACAATGGGTTTTTTAGAAAATAATTAAATTCTTGACCTTTCATCACCTCTAAACATATTTTGGACCAAAAATACAGGATAAGAGCAAAATGGGTACCAAAGACACAATAAAATAGGGGTATTGAACAACAAATAACTCTCACAATTTGAGAGTTATCAGGTTGCAGAAAGCTTTGGGATCTGAAATCCGACTAAGCACGCCTTATCATCCGCAAACTGACGGACAGAGTGAAAGAATTATCCAGACTCTGGAAGACATGTTGAGAAGTTGTATTATTGACTTCGGGGGATCGTGGGAAGATCATTTGTCGTTGATAGAGTTTGCATATAACAACAGTTACCATTTCAGCATCCAAGCAACACCATATGAAGTATTGTATGGACGTAAATGTCGAACGTTGTTATGTTGGAACAAGGTGGGTGAAAGACAGCTGACGGGTCCTGAAATTGTCCAAGAAACTTCTGAGAAGATCGAACAGATCCGTAAAAGAATCAGAACAGCACAAGATCGCAAGAAAAGTTATGCTGATAATCGTCGAAAGCCGATTGAATTCTGTGTAGGTGATTTTGTGATGTTGAAAGTTTTGCCGTGGAAGGGTGTTATCCGATTCGGAAAGAAGGGTAAGCTCAGTCCGAGGTATGTTGGACCGTTCAGAATATGTAAGCAAATTGGGCCAGTAGCATATCAGTTAGAGCTACCAAAAGAACCAAGTCTGATTCACAACACTTTCCACGTATCGAATCTACGAAAATGTTTAGCCAATCCGGGTCTAGCTGTACCGCTGCCAGAGGTTAAATTAGACAGTAAATAGAACTTTGTGGAAACACCAGAAGTTGTAATTGACTAAAAGATCAGGGTGTTGATAAACAAAGAGATAAGTCTGGTTAAGGTTCAGTGGAAATTTCACAAAGGACCAGAAGCGACATGGGAATTGGAGTCTAAAATAAGATCAGAATACCCGTGGCTTTTTTATTAAAGGAATTCCGGGACGGAATTCTTTTGAGGGGTGGATAATGTGATAATTGGGTCTTGGTTATCACCTGAGGTAACTTATACGTGATTATTTATTATGTGCTTATGTGACTGCATGATAAATTTGTGCATTTGATTATGTGGGTATGCGAATTTTATGCAAAAATGTGAAATGTATATACATATACACATATATATATATATATGTGTATGTGTGTGTGTGTATGTGTGTGTGGTGAGGCAGGATTCATGCATGTGGAGAGGAGGCTGCTATGGCCGACCGTTCCTGTTTTAGAAAGGTATAAAAGGAAGAGTTTGACCTCCATTTCATCCCCTTGCTATTTTCAAAAAGTTGAGCGATTTAAAGAGAAGAAGGTTGACCGAATTTCCAATTTGAGCTTTTCAAAAGTCTGATTTTCAAAGGAAGTTGCATAAGGTGAGTGGTTTTAAATGCTTAATTTCTCTTTGGAATGCATAACTATTTGTATAAAATCTTTTCATATGGTTGGAAGTTTAAATCGTAGGAGTGTTGTCAGGATTAGTCTTAAACCGGACAAGGGTTGGGCGATTTAAGCCTTA